AATCAAATTTACGTGCAGTACATAATACTTAATATAAGTATATAAATAATGTACTGCTGTGTGAGCAGCATGTCACATCCTTTATTTCTCAACTTAACCTTTGTTTTCTCTCTCTCTCTCTCAGCAATCCCATCTGTTTGATAATGAGGGGACAGTGTTCTTTGCCATATTTATGGGGATTTGGGGTAAGTGTCAGTCTGTGCAGACTGTGCCCCCTCCTCCTGTAAGTCAGATTGTCTCCATAAAGCCCTTTCACACATTCAAAGCATCAAAATTTACCCGTAACATTTCAGCCCAGAGCCACTTGCCAGTACAATTATGTTGTTATGAACAAGCAGTTAGCACAGCGATGTGCCGGCCAAGTCACTGGCATCATGCACAGCAGACCGCCAAGTCGTGATGAGGGTCAAAGGACAGGCAAGACACATGTTTTCAGTTGGTGCTAAAGCCACAACTTGATCTAAGTCATAAAAATCTCTCCAAAGAAAAGCATGGACATGAAAAAACTCTTGCACAAACACTAACTTGTCATCATAGAACAAAGTGTTTGTTCAGATACTCCCAGACTAAGTGTTTACGACTGTTGGGTTGTTTGACAGTGACTCTATTCCTGGAGTTCTGGAAGCGGCGTCAGGCGCGGCTGGAGTACGAGTGGGACTTGGTGGATTTTGAGGAGGAGCAGCAGCAGCTTCAAATGCGCCCAGAGTTCGAGATCAGATGCACCAACAGGAGATTGAACAAGATCACTCAGGTGCTTCAGAACCTTTCTAACTATAAACACGACAAATGTGTATTTTCAAAAAGGCAAAATCATGACAATAGCAATTAATCTTTCAGGAAATGGAGCCTTATCTCCCCATCACCAGCAAGTGTGCTCGCTTCTGCCTCTCTACAGCCACCGTTATATTCTGGGTAAGTGTGTGTGTGTGTGTGAAAGCTATTAACGCCATTAGTAAACAGCTATTAGTATCAACAGCTCCGTGTGTGTGTGTGTGTGTGTGTGTGTGTGTGTGTGTGTGTGT